CGTGCCAGGCTGCCCAGGCCTCGCAGCCACCTCCAGCTCCTGCCGCTCCGCCTGCCAGGCCTTCTTTTGCGGGGAACTTTGGAAAAGAATCTGACAGGCTACCTGCCCGGTAAATCTGGGCGCTGGGTGCCCAACCAGCCCAAACCACTTGGGGCAGAGGACCGGGCTGCCTGCAGCTTCATCCCTCAGTTCTCCGGGGTGGTCTTTAAAAACACGATCTCTTCCAGGGCTCCTACCCCTCGCCTGGCCCGAGAGCCAGCCCGGAGGACGCAGCGGCCCCCCAGACAAGAGCAGTCCTCGCCTGTCCCTGACTCTGGGGGTGCGGTGGGCGCGCGGAGCGCGAGGCACCTGTGGGCACGGCAGGCTGCCCGCATTCTCGGGTCCACACCGGTGACTCGGGGCTCGGGAGGAAAGTGGCTGGAGTGGGGACCCAGGCTATTTCCCAGTAGCCTGGCCTAGTTGGCCTTCGCTAACCCGCTGCCCGACTTTGGGGCGGCAAAGATTGGCCAACTAAGAAGGGCTTTCCTCCACCAGGCACTAAAAGTCCTTCGAAGAAGGAGCCGGTAGGGAAAAGAGCCGTCAAATTCATCTGCATAAAGTGAATTTGTCCAGGGGGAGTCCGGTGAACCCACTCTACCTACTCCCCATCCAGCCTTGTCAACTACGGCCTGGCCATGGGTTTGGGGATCCTCAGGGATCCCTCTCGCCCGCTGTGAGGGACAAGCCCCTCCTCCCCCTGGGCGCGGGGCGGCCCAGAGCTGAGGCCGGGCTGGAAGAGAGGTCCCCGCCCTCTTCTGCCTCCCAGATTTCTAGGACCTGCAAAAGTTGCGTTGCTGAGACTTTACCGTGCCAGAGGAGACGGTCGGAATGCCTTAAATTTTGAGGAGAAAATACCCGCGCTTCCAAAATTTGGATGGGCTTGAGGAAGCCACCTGAGCCGCGCCCTCTTCGGGTTTAACCCTAAATGTTATGTACACTTTCTATTTCTGCAGCCCCCTCGCCCCCATTTTTTTTTTTTTACTCTTTGGCTTAACTACAGAGTGCAATATTCTCCTTCAAGACAAATATACTGTATTGTGATTCATCCTTGTCTTATTTTGTCAGTAATTACCACAAAATTAAACGGGTCACTGCTAAAGTTTCATTTATACAAACCCCGGTAATTAACCGTTTGAATACACCTTTTTGCGTTGTATAAAAGTTGTAATTTTCTAACGCGTGCGGTTTTTTATTGGTGAAGAATGCTTGCGTTCGATGTGCTAATAAGAATACAAAGCACCTCATCTGAGCAGGAGGTGTGTTGGTTTCTTTCTGAGACAGTGTAAAGACTCAGCACGGATCAAGATTTTTGGAATGGGGGGGGGGGCTTCCTAACTATTCAAATTAAAATTTGCAGAACATTAAGGTCTGAGAATATAGGGCATCTGATTACTCTAACGTCTAAAGCCAAAATCCTTGGGAGAAACTGAACCAGACCCTGCAGTTAAACAGCCCAGCCCAGCAGGCCCTGTACCCCAGTGCAGGGAGAAGGTGGAGTTTGATACAGGAGGCTGCGGTGATGTTCATCCCACAGAAATAAAAAAAACAACAGTGTTTTGAGCACGTGCAGTGTCCCAGTCAAGTCCAGGTGAGCCCATGGCCAGCGGGTGTACGCTGGAGAGAGCACTGGTTACTAGTAAACACTGCCTTTTTCATGTTTTCTCTCATTAGCCCCCTAATAGAAAAGGCATCACTCACAAGAGGAGACAAGTCATAAGGAATTTCTATATGAAAAGAAATACAGTGAAATCAGAGATGCTTTTTTCTTACAGGCCATCCCTGTTATTGCAAATTAGATTAGCTACACAGGCTTCAATATAAACGTGACATGAGGTTCACATGAGTGAAAGGACGATCCACTCCAATCTCTCCTTTCATCGAAGCGTCTCACATAAATTACATCTTGTCCTTTAATACACTTTTCAATGAGATTAAAACATCACTGTGACACCATTTCAAGCCTTTTCAGTCGCATGTGTTGCTTACTTCAGAAAACAGCAAACAGGAAATGGGTCCCTGGAAATCTTCAGGCAGTGGGATTGGACCACCGCCCTGTGCTCTAAGCTAAGAGAGGTGCCCCTTAGCTCCGTG